GAATTATTTACGACCTTCCACTTGTATTGTACAAGGAATATCACAGCAGGTGTTAATTACACTAGGACAAGTGTCAAATCAGTATGACATCTTGCCGGATAACTGCATCTTCAGTAAAAAGACTCTATTAGTACAGGAACTGATTTCTTTTCTAAACATGACAATAAAGAAGAATTTTATAAGGTGAGAATATTTGTAGTTGTGTATTGCAAAGTTACCACGTGTATTCATCCTGTTCATTGGTCACATTAAAATAGATTTTTCTTTATTGAACAATTACCAAATTCGATATTTAAATCGTAAGTAACTCTATTATCTCGACTGAAAAGAGTAATAAGACAGTTTTGTTTATCTGACTGTAAACATTGTATATATCACAACGAGCTATTAATAACCGTCGCTCACGCACCAGTAGTTCTATTGACGACTCAATACACACCAGTTTTATCGGACCAACGGCTAATTCCCGTCGACACTGTATAATGGATTATGTAAACATCTATATACAACGATCTATTAATAACCGTCGCTCACGCATCACTGGTTCTATCAATGACTCAATACACACCAGTTTTATCGGACAAACGGCAAATTCCCGCCGACACGGTAAATCTCCGGATGACATGCATAATTTTCTGTGACACAGCAAATTTACGATGAACCTCTAATTATTTTCCGTTCCGCGCAGATTATCCAAAAATCGCGGTCATTTGCCAAATAGGTCTACCAGTGTATAATGACATGCTACAACTATTCTTTATAGGGTTTCTTATATAATTTTGTTCAACATTTTGCACTTAACATATCCATAATATGTAGCTTATTAACCAACTGTGTGTTCCCCTTGCACACATTACCTTCCGAAATGACACGTCAATGACCTGTAATAAGACCTTACACGAGAAAAATTATGGTAAAGAATTTGGGCAGGTTTATCGTCTCCCATTATTTTCCCCTTGCAGTAGTTGACATCTCTAATTGTATTTAGTTATACAGTAGACTCCACCTAATCGGATATCGGCTAAACGAATATATATCGGCTATTGTAATATTATTTCAAAACACCAAACCCTTCCCTATATGTTTAATGTTAATTTTATCGGGTAATCGAATATCGGATATAAGAATATATCGGCAAATCGGATAAGAATATTCAGGTCATTTTGTTCAAAACCATGCACAATCGGATATTTTCAATGTTTTTCTGACCGGAAATGGACCCGGAAGTTACGAATATACAATCTTGCAGACAAGAAGATTTTGTTTTTACTAAATAAAAGGAACTATTTCTTAATAAATTGTTGTCTTTAATCATTGTCTTCCTTTGTCATGTGAATTAGATGCCCTTTTACTTCAAATGGTTTGAATTTATTTATAAAATATGCAAGACTCAGTTGACAAGTTGACGTTGCTGTTTGGAGAATTTTGATTAAACTCTAAATGTTCACAGAATCAGAAATATAATCTAAACTGAATGTACCTCCTTCTGAATAATTTATTGCAATATAAATATAAATCCATTTTGACAAGAGAAATCTGACTTTTGTCAGATATATTTTTTTCACATGTGCAAAAGTAATCACATGTCATGGACGCCATTTTGGATGTTTACAAATTTGTGAGGAAGCCTCTGGAACTATGACCTAAATATAAATAGTCTTCAGAAAACCTAAACTTTATGCAATAATATTTTATCAATCATGATTATTTTCATAAATTTAAATTTGATTATTTAAAGAAATAAAATTATAACAAATACAATTTTAGTTTGGAGATTCTACACAGACATGCTTAGATCTATTTATAGCCAAATTAGTTTACCTGTGTGATAATGTAAATAATGGATATTAATTTGCTTACAAAACAAATAAAGACAATCTATGGATGGTAGATAATAATTCACATAAATATTTCAGGACATTTGATTTATTTTAAAAAATAAAGGATTTAAAAACTGCAAACAAATTTAATCATTACATAATCAGCTGATAATTTTTTACACAAACATCGTGGTGATGTAACTGATAAAAATCACTCCACCAATCCTCCAGCCCTTTCACATATTTAGCAATTGTCAGGGTTAGTAACATCTCAGGATTATATCTACTTATTATTGCAGAATATTCAATGAATATACATTCATCGTCTAATTGAATATATCGGGTAATTGGATATTTTTAGCTGACATTTTGGGTATCCGATTTGCCGGAGTCTACTGTATTAGGCAAATTATCCATTTGAGTAAGAGTTATCTTCCTTTGTTTATGATTGTACATTTAAAGTTGAACCTATTTTTATAGCAGATTCATATGGCATGCATTACTTATCATAAGTGGTTCCCTAAACACTAACCTAAACACACTTTAACTTGTAAACAATGTAAAAGTTTCATAGTCAATGAACCATAATAGGGGGTGGGGCCAAATAATCTCCATGGAAAAGAAGACTTCCAAATGCTTATACTATCATTGACTTAACATCAGTGGTTCCTCTTAAACTGATCAATTTTTGAGTCAATAGACCATAACTAAGGGGAGGGGCCAAAAAATCTGCATGGAAATGAGATGTGCCAATGTTAATACAACTGCATACCAAATATCATTGACCTACCACAAGTGATTCCCCATAACCTGACCTAATAAAAAACTAATACATTGTTGATGCCGCCGTTGAAAACAGCATACCTATGTCTTGCTTTTTGACTCTGTCAACAGTCAGGGGACTTACTTAAATGAGTGATTAAGAAATCACTGATTCAAGTAACATTTTTCCAGAAATGTTGGAAGTAAGAGTTGTCTTTCTTTAATAATCACCTATTTAAGTAGTACAAATAAATCACTTGACGAAGTGATTTAATTTTATTGTAGCTTTAAATATATAAAACTAATGATCCAGGGACTAATTATGTTGCTAAAATTATCAGAACCAACATCTGTGTTTATAGGATGACCGGTCATGTCAGGTGATGACCTTGTACTGAATCTGAGATAATGACATGAAAATCACTTGTTTAAGTATCATACCTCTAGTTTCTTAAAAAAAATAAACTGCTTCGCTGAGCGCAGCTGGATACGCCCGCAGAGGTCCAACCCTGAACAGTTGGGGCAAAAATGGACACAATATTCAAGCTTGATACAGTTCTGAATTTGGATTGTAATTAAATATTTGACATATTACAGGTTTCTGAATAAATGTAGTCAAAGAACTTGAAATTGTTTATATGAATTGAATTTATATTCAATTAAAGATTTCTTGCTGTTGTGCAATACACTGTGCTGTTGCGCAATACTTAGTAAATCTGTTGTCAGACTATAAACAAATAAAGTTCAATTAATTCTCAATGTCATATTAGAAATTTATGAAAATCAAAAGGGAGCTTACATCAATAGATATAAACAATTCACACAAGTTTCATGAGAATTGCTGACAGTATTTTCGAGTTATTGTCCAATAACTGGAAAATCCCCCCTTTTTTAATGAATAAAACCCCATAACTCAGAAATGTAAAATGTAAAATTTATAAAATTCTAAAGGGAGCTGACTTAAATAGATATAAACAATTCACCATAGTTTCATAAGAACTGCTGAAAGCCTTTTTGAGTTTTCGTCAGAAAACTGTAATCCCCCTTTTTTATGAATAAAACCCTGTAACTCGGAAACGTAAAATCTAAAATTTATAAAAATCAAAAGGGAGCTCATGTCAATAGATATAAACAATTCACCACAATTTCTTGCAAGTTGGTGAAAGCATTCTTGAGTTATTGTCCTAAAACTGGAAAATCCCCCTTTTTTTAATGAATAAAACCCCATAACTCAGAAATGTAAAATTCAAAATTTATAAAAAACGAAAGGGAGCTCATGTCAATAGATATAAACAATTCATTAAAGTTTTATGCAAATTGGTTAAAGCGTTTATGAGTTAATGTCCGGCATGTTGACGACGGACGGACAGACGGACAGAAGTATACCATAATACGTCCCGTAAACGGGCGTATAAAAATCACTTCTTTAAATATTATTATTTTAATTACCCCAACTTATTTCAACACCCCCGAACAGTGAAATTTTGTTCACGAACAGTAAAATTATATTACATAATCTGTAAGATGAAACTTGAATTTTACAGGAAAAATACTCCCTCTGGTAAAAATCTGTTAAGAAAGTATTAGATCATTATTAAAAGCTTTATTATAGCATTTTTTTCAACAAATATAGAATTTACAGATGAATGATTGCATCAATGGCATACACCTTGCTACTTTAAAGAAGCAAAAGGTTCATTTTTTTTTAATTTTACTAATAATTAGATATAATCTAAACCTGTATGTTTAAAATTTTGGTAAAAACTACAAAATTACCGAATTTCTAATTTGCTACCTATAGATTAATAAATCACTTATTTCAGTAATTCCCCTGACTGGTCAAGGCAAGGCAAAAACTACAAGATTGAAAAAGCACGAAAGAGCCCTGTATTAAATAGGACCAACAACCTTATCCAAAAAGATATTTTTTCCACATAGTCATCATGTAGTAAAATATCTTTCGAGTGAGATTGTTGCTCATATCTCAATAGTAATGTCTAGTTCTCAAAATGAGGCTATTTTGCTGTTTTGCCTTAATTGCTAGAAGTTTGATTAATTTGATTGTTAATTGCTTGATGTTCAGTGGAAAATATTTCATGCACATTCAGGAACATTTCAATTTAACAGTAAATCCAAAAGGTACAAATGTAGATCCTGCTAAGTGGATGTACCAACATGAAGGGCAGATATGCTATCTTGCAACAAACCACATAGGACCCTTAAAGAGCTGTTGCAAGAGGTTGGAAGGCTCAAAGCAAAATGTAAGACAAAATAATAAAAATATAAATATGGATATCTGGTAGAATAATTATCTGATAGATTTACAATACTTTTTGATTTCAAATTTCAAGGGAATAAAACATAGGGTTATACCATGTCTTTTTTGGTAATTTTGATGACTTGATGCATTATGTTTACCTGATAAACCACAAAATATTGCTTGAGAAGGCAAGTTCAAATGTTTTGGTTGTACCATCTTTAATCCATCTCTTTCTTGACATTCTGTATTACCATAATCCACAAACAACACCTCCACAAGGTTTTTCCCAGCGAGGAGACCTGAAAACAAATCAATTGTAAAATGAAAAATCAGAATCTTTTCTGATTTACTGGAGAATAACACAATAGAGACTGTCCCTCGTCCTTAATCTTAATCGGAGTAAATACCATTATGAAACAAGTAAAAGATTTGATTGAAGTGGTTAGTGTGGTCTATTTTACATTAATGAAATGAAAAGACAATTTGGGCAACTATTGTTTTCTCCTTAGGACCTACTTTCTTCTTAAATTTGACTTTCATTTCACAAAAAAAGTGTTGAAGATTGAGCAAGGGTCACAAAAAAAAAGACAAATTGGACAAAACTAGTCTTGTGTATTCAGGCCAACCAAAAAAGTAGGGTTTTCATTAAAGAAAAATAGGATAGTTAGGTATGAATTCTTTTAAATTTTCCTATTTCTTTCATCTTGAGTAGAAGCCAAAATATCGAAATTTTGTCACAGTTCACTATTGTAAGTGCTTTTATAACTTGACAATGAGAGTATTTTGTGGGAGCATAGAAATGAATGAACAGAGTTTCGGGTTTCAACATGTATACATAACTTTTTTTATACAACTAGCCCAAACTTACTCTTACAATAACAATATGTATAAAAATTTTAAGTCTCATTTTCATAATATCAATGAAGTGACATTCAAGTCTTATAGGATTGTAAGTATGCTTTATTTTATCACCTTGCATTTGGTGTCTTGACTAGTTTACTGCAGCAGTTGGTTAAAATTTCTAGCCATTTGAATAGTTTGGATAAAACAAATCGCAATTTGGTCAGACTTTTTAATGAACTGCAATAGGTGGAGAACAACACTTACAGTCAAGTATTGTTTTCTCCTTTATGCCCCCGCCGTAAGAATTGTTTTCTCCTTTATGCCCCCGCCGTAAGAATTAAATTGGTTGCCATTTCTGTAATTGTTTTCAAAATGTCATAAGCGGCTCTATGTATGCCTTGTAACAAACCTGTAACTTTAGCTCTGTACCAAGAATTATCAGCACTAAATTTAGCTAAACATGGCTGTCCTAAACGAATATCTCCTATACAATCATCATTTGGTCCAAGTTTTTTACAATGATCATCCAGAGACTGCATGATTTCATCCAACTGAGTGGCATATTTCTTCATTTGACAGTGAAAATGTTCAGGGTCAATTACATGAGTCACCATAACTTCTTCTGCTGAATACAATGAGACAACTGTGGGCTGATAGTCATCTAGAGAGTCTGCAAATCTGTAAATGAAAATAACTTTAAAAGGTTAATTTCTTAACTTGTTTTCAAAAGGTTTAAAAAAAAAAACATATTAAATTGTTTTGTCAATTCCAAACAACTTTTGTTGAGGCCTACAATAAAATTTTGTTTGTTTGCTGTACATGATGCCACCAAATTCACTATCTTAGTTGACTGTATTTTCCCATAAAAATAAAAAGTTATCAATATATCTTTTCATTTGGAACTTTAACGTATCCGGCCCAATAATTTTTTCTGCCATGGCTTAAGTGTTTGAAAGAATTGTGTAATAAATTCAGTAATGAAGAAAAGTCATCATACATGGGAACTATATTTTTTAGATTGAAACATAGAAAAGAAGACGGCTAAGTCCATTCTCAATCTCTGCAGGGGTGAAACTTAACTTTGTAAAGCCAGTAGCCGGCTGGGCTACTAGACTTGAAAATCAGTTAGCCCACTTTATTTCACTATGAGTATCACCGGTGAAGCCAGCAAAGCGCGCTGAACTTGCTAGGGGGATTTGGGGGCATGGCCCCCCCAAGAAAATTTTGAAATTTTAGACTCAAAACCCTGCATTCTGATCATGAGCATACCTGGAGGTGATTTAGATGCTTGGGAAAATGTAAATTTTGTCTTATTTTTGTTGTTGACTTCAATCAAATTTAATAAAAAAAAAAATCATTTACAAAATGGGAATCTTCATACCTGTGTACCAGTTTTTTTTTTAATATCTTTTTAAGACAACTAAAGAATTCTCTGTCCTTAAATACATGTAGATGATCGATGAAATATTTAATTTTATTTCTTTAATAATCTAATTTATTAAATATCTTGATGGATTTATTTTGCGTAACTACGTACATTTGTAAACAAATGACCCCCCTTTTTTCTCAAAAGACTTGTACACGTATTTCAAAAGCATTGTCATAAAATTGATATCTCCTCTGATTTTCTCTTTTTTGTAAACTGTTCAGTAAGTAGGAAACTAAAATCATTTTGAACTAATGTTATTTATTTGTGGTCGTCAATATTCTACTTTTGTTTTTGACCTTCATTCTCTGGACACCACGTGGGCTTTGAAAAGGGAATTACAAAAGGTACTGTTTTCCAGATTCTTAACAACATTATATATTATACGCTCTTTTATTTGACTGATATTATTTCATAACATGCTATATATTGTCATCATCTGTGAATTTCTTCGCTTTCTTGAAGCCAAAACCGAACAGGGTATTTAATCGCTTCATATTGTAAATGACCATCGGAACGTCTCTCTTGTTATCCTTGCAAACTTACGATACTTTCCGGACTTTAAATAGACGACCAATCAGTGACCCGAATTAACGTGAACTATATTTAGTCAAAGGTAAACACTGATTTTACATCCTTGTTTATCGTGACCGCGACTTTGCGACAATAAGACTCTCGACACTTGCCTGTATACATTTTAAAAAGATTTTTTTTCCTTTTTGAATTTATATTTTTGTCAGTGAAGTAGCCGGCACTTGGAGCCACGGTAAATAGCGGATTTCCGTCTGTCGAGTGCTTTGTTTTCAATTCGCAACCTGGGCTACCACAACTGAATACAAAGATCGCCCAGGTCAATATCTGGTCGCCATGGGCGACCGTTAAGTTTTTTCCCTGCTCTGTGACATAGGAATGATTATTCTCATCTTCCTAAAATTGAGGCAATAACTAGTGATTTTTATATTTTCTGCCAAAGCAATATATGGGTCAATAGAATCTAGCACAAGGTTGACAACTGTAATCACCCTCACCTTGTATTTGAAACATGATTGGACATTGCTGGTCTTGGAATTCTAGGAACAGAAGGCTGTCCTTTCAACTTCTGTAGTATTCTTCCATTATTTGGGTGACTAGTTAACTCGACTTCAAAAAGAGGAAATGAGAAATCTGAAAAAATTAAAAGAAATATGAAATAAAATATACTTATTCAGCAATTCCTACAGAAATAACAAGTTATAATTATACTAATATATATTGTACTTTACTTTTATTTATCCCTGCACTTCAAACGAAGTTAAATGATTTTTTTCTGCATCAGTCTGTATGTTCAACTGTTAAAATTTCCCTCGCTTTATTAACTCTTCTTTTTTCATGTTTTAGACCTTTATCTGTAAGGTTAAAAAATATACATGTACGTCTGTTTTCTGTTTTCCATCTCCCGACGGATCCGATTTTATTGCCTTTCAAAAAATCACATAAAAGTGGTTTGTTTCGTCCAAAGACTATGAATCTGAATTCCTACTGGATTATTCAGTCAAATTTGTAGTGATATGGATCGTAATCATGTGAAAATCTTGTCAAAACATTGGAAATTACATATGTACCATGGTGTATGTGGAATTATCATATAACCAGATGTGTTTTAAAAAATAATATTTTTTGGAGGCCATTTACTTTTATTCATTTTTTATTTGAACTATGGTCTGAAGTGAAAAATGTTTACATTTATATGAATGTGTGCATCATGACAGCCATTCTGATGAAACACAAGATATATTTTTTCATCACTAAAAGTTTATACCAGATGTTGGGTATAACACCATTTAAGATCTTCCCTGAGTCTGCTAGTTATTGTTTACATTGAATCTGCCACTACAGCTTACCTTTCTTCATCTTTAACAGAACCTCAACTACTTGATTCATCAGCACACTTTCTACAATTTCTTTAGTCAATCCAGTATTCAAGCCAGAAAGCTGACAAAGTATACATTGTTGAGGCATCACTGCAAAAATTGGTAGCAATTCTTTAAGATTATTCAAATTGGAAGTAGTTGAATCTCCAAAGTCAGCAAAGCTTACTTCTATTTTGCCTTGTTCTAAACCTGTCACAATTCCTCTGTACCAACCTCCATCAACGTATTTTGTACAACAAACATCTCCTACTCCAATACTTTTCATCACACCTTCTGACATACTATAATTTTCATAGTTAGTGTGAAGTTTCTGTTGTAAGTCACCAATTTCACTTGCACACTTTGTCATCTGAGCAAAAAACTGGTTTGTAGACTTAACAGCTGTTACACATACAAGTACTTTTTGACCAACTGTTACTTGTGGTCCTGGAATTAAAATTTGTTCTTTTTTTTTAACATGAGTTGGTGTCATTTTAGAATTCTGTATTAAACTTTCATTACTATCTTTTCCAACTCCTAACAATTCTGCATTTATATATCTGTCTAATTCTGGGTCTTTTGTATCATGCAAATCTAATTGTAAAATGGCTCCACGCTTGGCAGTCACTTTAGCTATCAACGGTTCCTTACTTTCAAATTCAGACAAAAGTCTGATCTCTTTAGCAGACCAATATTTTTCCTCTGTCTTTGTTGAATCTACCGTGCATTCAAGTGCTTGTGATGGTATCTGCAAGTTACGTGTAGAAATTTCTCTAAGCTGTGAATTACTGACCCATTCTTCAAATCCAAAATCAACAGCAAGCACAAACACATTTTCATTTTGAGCACTTTTTATTACTGATCTATAACACGCACCATCACTTAACTTTGCAATACAAGGTGCACCAACAATTAAACTAGACAAAATATGACTAGATACAAATTCCTGAGATATCTTATCCATCAGACTGTCAATAATTGGAGCATTTTCAATTATCTGCACATAAAATCTACCTGGATGATAAACGTGTGATATACAAATGTCAAAATCCTTGTTCAAATCTATAGGCAAAGGCTCAAATGCTTGGACTTCTATACTTTCAGTATCAGATAGTTTTTCTATTTTATCTATTTCAACTTTGTATTCATCACTGGACTTAGAAATTACTGTCAGAATTACACCATCCTCATCGGAAGTAAGTTCCTGAACTTTTTCATCTAATGTATTACTTTTTAACTTGCTTCTTTTGTAGCAACATTTAAAACCTTGGACTGGTAACTGACAGAATTTTTCAGGAATCACCATTAAATCAACAAGACTTTTTGATTCTGAATTTCCATAGTCAACAAACTGAACTAGACATTTATCACTGGTAATTCCCAAAACTTTTGACCTGTATGGGACAGCATCTTCACTAAATTTTGCTATACAACAAGTGCCACGTTTGGCCTGTGGTAATGGTTGAGCCTCAGCTTCTGCGTAATCTGATATATCTTGCATCAAGTTTTCAAGATTTACTTCAAACTGCTTTAACTGTATCCAAAATTTATTTGCACTATCAACATATGCTATGTATGCCTTGTAGCTTTCCCCTGGTGTTAAATTCATGGTTGCCAAGTTTGTTCCTGTCTTTCCATTTTCCTTTGAGCCAAACTGATACTGGCCAGATTCAGTATTTAATGCAATAACATAACCACTGCTTACTATATCAGTTACTTCTGCAGTAAATTCTTTATTTAACAGATCCTCTTGTACCTTTTCTTTGTCCACATTTGACCAAGTGTTACCATCAGTTGGGTTTATGTCTTCCAAAACACATTTCACTGCCAAACTAGAATATTGTTTCAACTCTGTTGGGGCAAGTCTAGCATCGCTTATATCAACGACTTCTGAATTTCCATAGTCGATGAATAATACAGAGACTGAGTTATCGTTCGTCGACGATACTTTCGCCCTATACCAATTTTCATCTTCACGATACAAAGCAAGGACAATATCATTTATCACACATGCATTAATTGGCCTAGATGCTGTGGCTGCTTGTGTAACTTGCTCTGACAAACTGTCAACAACCTCTGCATCACAGAATTGCCCGTACCCGATGCAGCATCCCGTCTGAAATTCCACGTGGGTTATTAAAACGGGTACAAGTTTCCCAATTGAAAGATTAACGCTTGCCATTCTTATTGACTATTTATATTGGAATATTTCAATGTATAGGGCATAGTTTGGTCGAACTTGAACACTTCATATATAAGTTTTCTTGTTTCGTTTTGTCGTGTGCCAAAAAATATTCCTTTTCTTCTTCCATGACAGTTTATTAATCACGTGGTAAAGTAACTGTTCCCGCGAAATATCGGGAAAAGCTAAAACCCGGAAAAATCAATGTATCATACTTTCAGTTCCCTCTCTGTTTGAGCTCTATATTCCCAATGATTCATAAAACAATATGTTTGTTTGTTGTTTTATATTCTGCTATATTTTAAACTAAATTTTGAAACGCCAGAGACATACATAACAATATCAAATAAACTTATTATCGAATAGACAAATGGTCAAAAAGTGCTGAATATAGGGCAAAAAAAGAAAAAAAAAAAGAATAGAGACAAATAGGGCAATAAAATACAGAATAGAGAATAGTGGGTGCAAAAATATAAAGAATAGAGAAAATTATCTAAAAAATTAAAGGATAGAGAACCCCCCTCCCCCCAATTCAGTTGCTGTCTCATTGAGGTCTGAGACTACTATACGTGACAGCAGTCAGGCAGAGTCAGTAGAGGTATACTCCATGTGAACGTGTATGTGTTCCTCCTAACAGAGGCACCTCTGGAAACTTTGTTATAAACAATGATATAATACTATCTAGTCCTGTTGGAATAAATATTCTATACTCTTTATACCGTCAGTGATGTTAGGAATCGAAACGGTATTTGGAAGGCCATATAATTTACCTCAATTTAGGATAGACTCTATATATACAAGTCTAAATTGAAAACAACGTTCAAACCCATGATTGCGTTGGATAAAAACCGCAATTTTTATACGTGTGCATGGATGTGTCTACCTGTGCGAATTTCAAACGCGCGATTTTACGCTAGTACTTAAAACCTTCCATCCTTTATGGGTGGATTTTACATAGATAAATAAAATCGTATAATATAAGCAAAATGAGGATGTTAAATTTGATGTTTGCCTTTTTGTGCTTCTCCGTTATATTTCTTTGTTTTTATAGTGATTAAGATGATAACACAATGTTGACTGCTGTACCCCTATTTTTGACATTTTTACCTATTGTGTCTGTTTGTTTTTGTTCACGCATCGTTATCAATATAATGGAATTTGATGCGACTGTCATACAAGTGAGAGGTTTAGCTAGCTATGAAACCAGGTTCAATCCACCATTTTCTACATAAGAAAATGCCTGTACCAAGTCAGGAATATGACAGTTGTTATCCATTCGTTTGATGTGTTTGTTTTTTTTATTTTGCCATTTGATTGGGGACTTTCCTTTTTGAATTTTCCTTGGAGTTCAGTATTTTTGTGATTTTACTTTTTATGCAAAACAAATTTCTTGATAGAGGGGTCTAAATACAGCACAAACATCATTTTCCAAAAGACCAAAAAAGTTAAAAAGTATATTTTAACAAAACGCATTTGACTAACAGGTCGAACAACAGATGTTCTTAAACCCTGCTGACTGCCATTGACGATTGCCAAATAAACGGATCACAAGATGTTACAAAATGGGTCTTTTAAAATTATTAATTTAATACCAAACAGAAAACAATAAACTTGCGGAAAAGATGGTATACCGCAAACAAAAGGTGTAAAAATTTGTACACCATATCCGGATTTCGACAATTAATGTCTCTTCGGTGATGTTAGGGATCGAAACGGTATTTGGAAGGCCATATAAATTACCTCAATTTAGGATAGACTCTTGAATTTTGAAGAGTCGAAATATTAGAAATAGGATGAACGGATCATATAAACCCGAAGGAAAATATAATACAAGCCCAAACGAAGAAATATAAACAAGTCTAAATTGAAAACAACGTTCAAATGCGTTTTGTTAAAATATACTTTTTCGCTTTTTTGGTCTTTTGGAAAATGTTGTTTGTGCTGTATTTAGACCCCTCTACCAAGAAATTTGTTTTGCATGCACACGTATAAAAATTGCGGTTTTTATCCAACGCAATCATAGGTTTGAACGTTGTTTTCAATTTAGACTTGTATATATCAGTAAACTGCAGAGATGCTATTTTTTATGTTAGAGAAGTTGATTTCCAACTTTCAAAACATTTCATGATGGCCTGTCTTAAAAATGTAATCCCAGACTGTACGTAAATGTTAACTTCAATTATAACTAAGTCAAAGTATCAATAAAAATATTAACATTTTTCAAAATTTTTCTTCAAACATAATCTCTTAATCATAAAAAGGCATCCGACAAAGTCTGGTTGGCCGTTATGGAATATCTGTTAGAAAATATCTGTTTTACAGATGACAGCGGATATGTTCAAATTGTCGTAACCACGCCCTCTTTTCTTCGAACGTGACATCGCCGAAATAGAATTATCACAGGCATGTGAAACAGGATCTGCTTACCCTTCCGGAGCACCTGAGAGATCACCTCGCTTTTTTCTTTACCGTTATTGACTCCCCTTAAACTACCTTATCACAAAGTTTAACAAATTAGTGCAACCGCAGAAAACAGCACACCTATGTCTCATCCCCGCGACTTCGTCGAGGCAAGACAACTAGCTTAACCCCGCTACGTATTCATGTGGGTGTTCCAAGTCAGAAACCTGGTCTAATGTCATATTCAAATGTTTTTTTATAAGTAGAATTTGGATATACTGAATTGTCTCGATTTGAATGAAAGTTCCTAAATTTGTAATTAGACATGCAATTGTTTTCGCAGGAGTCTGCTGTAAGTAGTTGTATACCTTCTATACTTCCGAGATAAAGCAATTAAAACACCTCGCAGATAGAAGTACTAATGTTTAATCAAAATGAGCGAAATCACTGGTCGAAAGATTGAAAGAAATAAGTAAATAATTTCGAACCACATTTTAGTCCAATTGAGGTAGAGAAACGTTGATTTAGCGCTATTGCATACTGGTGCATTACTGCAATTCTTTAGAAAGATAACATTTTGTTCAGTAGATAAAATGAATTAAATGTGTGTCAATGTTAGAAGGTCACTAAATTCTTTAAAATTGCAATTTGAATTTTCACTAAAAAATATGTTCACAGTTTTAAGTTTACATTATTTTAAAAACTAGAAATAAATCCTAGTTGGTGAAGGTGATACTTTTTGGAAAGCTTGGAACCATTGGTTAGGAAAGAATTGGAACGAAAGATATTTTTTTCCCAAAATGGTTTCTTGTTGTCACTATAAAAAAAATCCTTTTTATCGATTTAAAATTTACAGGGGTCGCCGCATTCGTTTTTTATTGCACGAATGAAAAAGTGTAAGTGTCATATCTAAAAACTAATAAAAAAAACCACATTAGAACCAAAAATGTTCACGAGATCATTGCCTTTCGGTGTGTTTTTTTTCGCGCTTTGTATTATATGTCTCTGATGACAATTACATGGGACATCCTGATATGAACCATATTACCCATATTGGAAGCAATTTACCATCTTCACAGTTACAAAAAACCGCAAGATTTCGACATACGTTAATTTTTAGAATGCGAAGCACTGGTCGTTATTTTAGATCAATGAAACATTAATATGTTAAAACATTTGTTTAAGTCTGTTCTTTCATTAAAACATACTACGTGACTTGTATTCAATCGGATGTAGCGTCTATTTTGAGACAAATTTTATACCTACAGTCTGTGACTAATAGATACAATAATGAAGTTGTTTTTCTGGCGTACTAAGTTGGAGAATTTTTCATTTTCTATATGCAAATTATTCAAATATTTATTTTCAGACGTTGCATCGTTTTTACACCTTTTTTTCCCTGATAAAGTCATTACTATTTGTGTATGGTTTGAAATGGGACGTTTCATAAGGTGGCGTAAACGTTTTTATATCGAATTTTTATTTTATAATATCCTTGAAAAATGCATGCTTTCAAAGAATTCAAGTTTAATGATTTTGTTTATAATAATTGGGGCTCATTCTTTATAAGATAAACACAGGCACTTGTCTCTGAAAAAAAATTCCTATATACCTTACATTTTTTTTCAGAGACAAGTGCCTGTGTTATATTAAGGTATACAGGAAATTATTTTCAGAGACAAGTACCTGTGAAGATAAACCACACATTTTCTCAAAATCTTTCTTAATATACAAATACAATGTACTGTTAAAAAGACAATAAGATGAAGAATAGGCCCATTTACATTATATTACATTTTTATATGTGGTTAGAACAAGTAATTGACAGGTCAAAGTTAATTGTCGCATGTGAATCATTGATAACTGTGACCCAATTATTGATAAATTACAGTTCAACCAACTTAGCACTGATTTACAAGTACTTAAGGCTCACTTCCATTTTATTTATAAAGATTCTGTTTTTCGTATCTTTCTTTAAACAGGAGTGCACACCCTGAATGTATCACCTATTTTACTGATCATGATTAATTCTATGCTGGAAGTCTATCACGAAGTCAATAGCAGATGAATCCTTTAAGAAAAAAATATGAAAATATGAGGATGTGGTATGATTGCCAATGATAAGATAAGATAAGATAAGATATTTTATTGGTTTTAAATCCAAAATTATAGGATTGTTACCAAGACATATACATAAACATACAAATATATATCTGACCACATTTATATATAAACATTGTATATATATATATTTGTATATCCCCTCCATTGTTAAAGGAAAATATTGTTACAATAATAAATGTATATAATCTCTGCTGAGAAGGTGGTACCACAAAGTTATTTAGAACTCAATAAAGCATTTCTAGAATTGTACATGTCGCTTATGAATTTTACAATAATTCTAATTATATTTGTCTCACCGCACGTATACAAAAATTTAAAACTTGCTTCATTAGTCATATTTAAAGAAGATGGAACTATATTTCACTAATTTTGGAAAATAATTGTTCTCTAATTGTATTTAGTTTTGAACAATTTATAGTGAAATGAAATTCATCTTCTACTTCTAAAAGACAGAGGGGACAAATTCTTTCTTCTACAGAAGTTTTAGTGTGTCGACATTGTTCAATTTTAAGAACACTATTACTTATGCGAATTTTGGCAAAATGTCCAACTAATTTTCTATCAATATTTAACAATAAATAGGTTTCCAATTTGTAATTTTCTTTAAGCTGTCT